CGGGCAGAAGCAGCGCTGCTTCGGCTGCTGCCAAGTATTGTTGTTCTTGTTCGAGTCGGTTGTCGTGATTCACAACGAGAGCTTTGTTATGCTTGTCATCATCCGCTGGTGACGAATTCAAGCCTTCTTGGGGGGGAGTTCGTTGTCGAGCGCCCCAAAACTCCGAGCTCTGTTCGAATTTCGATTCGTGCGAAGTCGCTGAAGTCCTAGTAGAGCCGCAGGAATAATGGGCTCCTCGATGTGATCTCAAAATTCCGCCGGTCTCAGGCTTTCAGATTTGGGCGAAATTGAAAATGCTCTCCTGCCACAGACTTGTATTGGTGTGCGTATCGTCTTGCTGCTTCAGTTCTTTGCTTGTCCGCCTGCCGAAGTCGTGTTTCCGCACAGCAGTGTGCATTCGTCCAGTTTCGACTCATGGGGTGGTCTTGGGGGCCTCGAAATCAGCGAGGCGAAAACTGGGCAGGATCACCAAACATGAAGCCCAAGTTGCAGTTGAGGGTACCCTTGTACTTGTAGACTGTCTTGGGGGAGACGGAGGGAGCAGCCAGAAGCCTTGCATTCGTATGTAGGCAACGAGGAAAATTGGAGCCCAGCTTGACCCGAAGATGGATACTACAAGTAGGACTATGACCTTGAAGAGGAATTCAGGCCCGCGTGCAATGGGGAAGTGGCGAAGCTCACTCGTGGAAACCGTTTGCGACCACCTGAAGACAAGCCATTGGTGTGCTCGGGCAGGGGCAGCAGAGGGACGGCAGCCACGTGGGTGGCGCTGCGGGAAAGGGATGGCTATTCGGGTTAGTGCATGGTTACTCGAACTCGTGAAGCCATCGAGCCGCCACCAACCAATCCCCTCCCACATCCGCACTTGTCACTGTCGCTTGCGGCCGGCATTGGGAAGGAGAGTCGTTGCTTTCGTTCACGTTTGGCCCAGTCTGGTCGGCACGGATTCTTGCAGTGATTTTCAGGATGCAGCATCTGAGCGCCAGCAAGCCGGAAGCCAAGTCAGGCCGGAGGCAGCTAAAGTATCGGCGGAAGCTATGCGAAACCATTAATGAGAAGGTCTGATTAAATCAGTATAAGGCCCACCAAACAAAAGAAGGTGGCTGAAGAATGTTGACTTTTTCGGGGGCAGGCTCCGGATTAGTAGAAATTGGTTGTAGCAGCAATAGTAGGAATTGTAACGGGCACAGTAAGAGTCGGGCCGGATAAGCTTTGCAATCATGGGTATCCATGTACTTCAGGCTGGAGATAATGTCTATAAGTTCGGAAGCCCTGCTTTCCAAAAAATGGGTCGGGAAAAGCGTATTTCTTTATGGGGTCCTCGCAAAACAATTTCAGAAAAAAATCTCAGGGGTCTCAATCGAAGCTTCAAGCTTTTCTTTATAGGGGCTCCCAGAAGCATCCGACCTTTCATTGTGGTGTTATTCCAATGCTTCCTTCACGAGCCCCGTGTCGCAGACGCCAACCACTCTGCGCAGCAAGCGGTGGACGAGGCCGTGGATTGCAAACAGCTGTAACGGCCGCTCTGCCTCGTCTTGGTCATTGCGCTAGGCTGTTAAGCTTCTGGAATCCTGGCGTCCCAAGGCCTTGCATTGCGTGACCAGTAAAAGTGTCTCCACAGCTGAACGAAGCTCTCCGATGATCTCTGCAGGTGAAGGAACACGCGCAGAAGTCGGAGCGCGAGGTGGGCCAGTCAGGGGCACATGGGCGGGAGAGGGATGCCTTCAGCAGACCGTCAAAGCGGGCCCTCACTTAGGGTTTGGCCCCGCGAAAGAAAAATGCTGTAAACATTCGCCTGGCGGGGGCGTAGGGCAGCTGGATACTGCACGTCATGCCACTTTTTCTCTGTCTTACTGTGACGTGTTTGCTTGCTTGAACTGCATTCGTCACGACTCTACGCCCAGTGTGTTGTTGAGCAAGGAAGGGCTCCGGCAAGTCGTGCATCGTTCCTTGACAGCAGCTCCAAGTATTGGCGGTGTAGGTTACATTTGTAGGTTGTTTGACTTGCCATGGCTGAATTGAGGGGAATCACCTTTGTGCCCATGAGGGGAAGCAAGCCAGTGAGGTCCCCGAACCAAACTAAGGAACCAGCAACCGTTAGGGCGTGGGGAAGGGGCCTGGGGCGCAGCCGGAAAACTCCACCTTTCGCGTCGTGCCACTTTGCGCACCGGCTGTTTGCCAGCCAGCAAGCAAGCAAGCAATAAAGCAGTGGTGGCCTGTGGCCTGAGTGCCCGTCTGCGAGTAACAGGGGGGAGAGATTGAGGGCCCGCGTTTCCCAGTAAACCCGGAGGTCGAAGTTGCGGGGGTTGTATCGGGTAGAGCCACGAGTGGTTTGCAGCCTTGTTGTCAGGTGTTGCAGAGCGACTGCATCACTTCTGCCACAGAGGACCGACTCCAGCTTCTCATTTCCGAGAAGCTGGACGGTAGCTCGCTTTTTACCCAAAATGAAGTGAGCAGTGAGATCTTGTTTGTCACAGGCCCTTGACGAAATCCTGGGTGCGGGCGCGCTCCCGCTTGAGCCGCCACCCAGGGCCTCAGCTGCTGCCGAGGCCAAATCTGTTCTGTAAACGAAGCTGTAAATCCTAGGCCCCATGAATCTGGGCACTGATAGTCATGAGATGTCATGAGATGTCATGAGTGACAGTGTGGGTGGCAAGTTCCGAGCGCTTTCAAAAGAAGCCTCAACCAAAATACCCTGTCAAGCCTTGCCTGCCGCATGCGAGCACCTGCGAGCATGAGAGTCGAAGGCTTTGTTGAAGCCCTAATTTTCAAGACCGGAGACATGCCGTGCTTGTGGCTGGTGGCACGGCACGGCTTCGGCAGATCCGCTTGTTGGATTTCACGTGGGCTGTTGCCCTTGTTTCGACGAAGTGAGGATTGAAGTGTAGAAGGTTTGTTCCGACGGAGTCCTTGGTGATGTTGAGGCAGATATTCAAAATGACATGCCTCGCTTCGGGGCACTCGAGACCTTCACGATGTGGCTTGCGCACACCGGTGCAGGGACATGGAAACAGACCCATACCAAAACTAACAGCAGACATGAGAAACGTTTCTTGGATGTTGAGGAAGCTTCTTGCTCTAGCAAGGTTTGGGTGATTCAGGAGCAGGAGCGAAAGAGATATGCTGTGAGTGTGTGTCGGGCCGGGGCAGACAGCCCAAGCTCTGACTTGCCGACCTGTTCGGAGTCTCTCAGTGCGTCGTTGTGTGCCATCGTTTCAGGAGGCAGCCCAGGAACAGGAAGAACCCAAGGACCAGGCAAGGTAGTCAGAGTGCACCGACGATCCTCTCGAGTTTCGTTGCTTGGGAGGACTTGGAACTTGAGGCACGGTCCTGGTCCTTGCAGTGCCCACGGCTGCACTTCCTCCTACCGAAGGTTTTCCACCACGACCCGTCGGGGGACGGTTTCTTCCTTTTCTCTGATTCGACGCCTCGGCCCTAGATTAGAGTGCATGCATGTCCGTTTCTTCGGTGGAGACATACGTACACGATCATACATGTGCACATGCATGCGCCTTCTCACTTGGATCGCGTACTCACGATACGTATCATATACCCGTCTCTAAATGTTGATTCGTTCATGTATTGATTGATGCTCAGATTCATGCTCATTTCTGCATTCTGCAGAAATTGTGGCGGCCCAGGTGTTTGGGCATGGGCGGTGGTTCTGGCTTTGCGTTGTATGTGGAGAAGGACTGCGGTGCTGTGTGGCCGAGTCACCGCAACCGGCACTGCACCGCGAGGACCTCCTGCGTGGAAGAAGCGATCCTTCCACGACTTTCAACTCGGAGGCTTGGCCGACACAGCTTGACAAAGCAGATGTCGTGGCAACTACGTTTTGCAGGTGCTTTCCTGCGAGAGTAGCTTTATCATCGGAGATTTGGAGCCCGCACCCTCAGGTGTCAAGTTTTGAGCGGCGCATCATTTTGCATCCTGCTTTGGGCTTTTGTCGGTGCCCCTTACGAGGTGCTGGGCGTTTGATGATCCCACGGAGGCTGTGCAAGCTTGTTTTCTTGGCTCTGGGCTTTGCACGCCGCATCCCCGATTTGTCCATGTGCCGCTACATGTTCGGCACAGTCGCAGTAAGTCCCCAGAAGCTGCCGGTCAGACGTCTCGCAGTCCACCGCCTACCCACCGGCTGTTCTAGGAAGCTTCAGGCATGTCGTTAGAATTTGCAGCGAGTTTCATAGACTTGCATAGGACGAGTCTCGTGGTGTTATACCGCGACTGGCAGTCAAATTCTTTTGGCAGCATGCCTGTCTGTGGGAGTTCGTTCCAGGCACGTTAATGTCTGAGCACCGGCGTCGGCGCTGTGGGCAGCCGCATGGGTGATGAGCCCTGAAGTGTGGGAACGGTCCAGGTTGCAGCCAAAGCGCGGCATCGTAGCCTTCCACTGATTGTTGATCGACTCGAAAAAGGCTTCAAGGCCGCGTGAGGACTTGGAGATGCCAATCACATGTAGTTGGATCAAACTCCGCCTAAAATCGATTTGAGAGATGTTCCAGAACCTTGCCAGTGAGGTTAAGAGGAAACCCTGCCTTGAGCTGAGAAGCTGCTTTGCCTTCCAAAACGATAAGAGCCAAACCCACAAACGCTTTGGTCAACATGCTGAGAGTAGCATGATATGACGCCGACAATCACAGTCAAGCAGATGGGTGGAGGCTCACCCTCCGATCGAGCATCACGGCTCATGCCGCTCCGACGGCCGGGCTAAGGAAGTGCTCTGGCAGCTCAGTGAGCAGCTGTTTGTTCTGAGTCGAGCTTGGTTGAAGACAGCTGTCTCAAGCGAAAGGACAACGGGCATATGAGGGTCCTTATTGTCGAAGTAGCAGAAGGCCCAAACGTTGGAAATCTATGTAGAGGCCAAAGCCATTCTGCCAGGAAACTGCATATGGCAAGTGCGCCGAGTTTACTGCAAGTATGTGGGTGAACGAGTATAAGCAGCAAGTCTCAGCAACACATTTGTCATTTGTCACATTTTGCTGCCTTAAGAGATCCCAAAGATGGGCGCGAACAACTCCAATGCAACCTTGCCGGCCGAGCGCTTTGCGAAAGGAGTGCCAGAAGCCCTGGACTGGACATCGTTGATGGGCGTGCTCTTCCAGCCTTGTCACAAAGCTGTCCTTTTGTACACCTCGGATCAACAAGGGCCTGGTCCTGCGCCGCACCTACCGAGGAAGGAGGTCCTAGCCCTCCGGAGTGAGCATTCGGGGCCAGCACCGGAGAGGGGTCTGCTTCCCGTGGGCATGGTTTCCCAGAAGGGCAGCAAGCTGCAGCCCAACCAAGACTCTGCTTTCTATTTTCATTTTGTGGATTCAGACGGATCTCCGATATGGTGTGCCTGCGTCTTGGATGGCCATGGGCCGTTGGGTCATGAGATGTCGGCACTAGGCATGCAGTGGCTGCCTCTGCTGATCCTGAGGGAGCCGATGCTGGCAACCGATGCAGGGCGTTTGATTCCTTCTGATCCCCAAACGGTGTTCACCGCGATCCAAGCGGCTTTCCAGAAGATTGGGCAGCTGATGCAGAAAGCTTCCGAAACCGGCTGGGGCCCGCGTGGTTACAGCGGAGCTACCTGCACGTTGGCCTTCTGTGCGCACGGGCTGCTGCACACTGCAAATGTGGGTGACTCGCGGATGATTCTGGGAACGCTTCCTGCGACGGGCGCGAGCGGTGCGAGCACGTCGACGCAGGAAGAGTCGGGCGAGTCAAAGGCCGACTGTCGCATTCTTACGCGTGACCACAAGCCGGAAGACCCGGACGAGCGATTGCGTATCGAACAGTTGGGCGGCATTGTCGCACGCCAGAGGGTTTATTTAGACGAGTGGCCGTATGTCGGACTGAACATGTCTAGGAGCTTGGGGGATGCAAAGCTGCACGCGGTCGGCGTCTCCCATGTACCTGACGTTGCTACAGTTTTCCTGGAAAGCGCCGGGAGCCAGCAGCCAGAGATCGGCTTGAAGCAGCAGTTTTTGGTTGCTGCCTCTGACGGCGTCTGGGATTTCACCCCGTGTGATGAGGCGGCGGAGCTCGTGGGCAGAGAGCTTCAAACAACGCAGGTGACGCAGGGAGGCAACCTGGATCAAGTGTGCTCTGCACTAGTCCGGCATGCCCAGAGTGCATGGGAAGCCGAATGCCCGGACTTGGATGACATTACTGTCATCGTAGTGGCCATAGAGCCGGAACCTCCGCGCTCGTGAGCAAAAGAGGGGTACTGTATCTCAAGCATCTGCTGGTACGAGCCAGAATCAGGCTGAAATGATCGAGCCCTTGTCTCGACGCAGGTTTTAGCATAACAGTCTCAGCAGTATCATAACACACAGATGCCCAAGAAATTCCATCAGTGGGCCACTTCTTGCAATATCAGCCTTCTTAGTCAATCTCTAGTCACACTTGGTGCAAACGGTTGGACAGGGCGTGCTTCACGACAATTAATTAGGAGGGTTTTGATGTGGATAGCTCACCTGCTCCCGGCACAAGACCGACTGAATGAGCTGAATGAGAGATGGAGACGCAAAGGCCCTGGCAGGCTCAGACTCAGTGCACCCATCGCCAGAGAGGCTTTGGGTAGGGCCCGAGTTCAGCGATCGACAGCTCGGCCAGCAGGGCATCGTCCACACGCTCACAACCTGCCCCGCCGTGGCGCCAAACTCCCTCGTGGAGCTGAGGTCATTTGGCCAACGTCTTTGGGTGCGCACTCCGCTTCACTGGGAACCCGGCACGGCCCTTACGACATGGTATGAGGTCGGCGAGGTGTTCCCGCTCTCCGGCATCGTGGAGCCTCTCCCGCCGACCTTCTTCACCTGCTCTTGCTTCGGCTGGGGCGCCTCCGTTTTTTTCACCTTGGCATTCTGCACGGCTCTATGCGTGCTGCCCTATGTGCTCCTGCCACCCCTTGGCCTTGCCCTGCTTAGTTTTGTGCCAGTGTTGGTGTTTGGATCTTTCGTTCAGGTCTACTTCCACAAATCCGTAAAGTTGTCCCAAATGGCAATCTCCTTCTTCGAAGCGATTGCTTGGTTGATTCCCCTCATTGGCATCATTTTAATCATCTACTTCCCACTTGGATGGCGAGATTGGGTTAGCGACTGCGAAGAACTATCAGCATCATCTTTGGCTTCGGCGGTTGAGGTGGATTGCCTGGGCAAGCGTGCTATCCAGGCGTATCTGATGACTGCCTTTCTCGAGGAACTTCTGAAGTATGTTTGCGTTCGACGCATCCTCTGGTTTCCGTTTGTTGCCGACCCTCTGGCCCTGTGTTGCTATGGCGGCTGCGCAGGTCTTGGCTTCGCGGCATTGGAGAATGTCTTGTATGTGGGCACAGGCAGCCTTGCTACAGCTTTGCTACGAGCGGGGACGGCCGTGCCAAACCACTTGATATATGGCCTACTGCATGGTGCCTTTCTCTCGGAGCGACGGTTTTCCTTAAAGCAGCGCAACTGCCCATCCTTCATCTTAACCCCGATGCTACCTATGCTATTGCATGGCAGCCACAACTTTTCCATCGCAGTGCCCCTTGGCTTTAACAGGTAGCTTCCGAAATGGATCAAACGTCCAAAAGCAAAAGGACAGCCGCACCGCGATGTGACTTGTTGATAAGGGCAGTTGCATTTGGACGAAAAGACTCCTGAAGGTGTCAGTATGTCGACCTGCGGCTTGGCCTCGTCGTGATGCTTCTGGTCGCCTTGTCTGCGGGTTGCACTCTGCGCGCAGCCTTGGTGCGGCTGCAGCGGCTGCACTTCCCCGTGCTGAATGTCCACGAGCTAATCAAAGCAGGAGCGGCGACTGGATCGCCATCCGTTCCAGTCTGTTTTAGCTGAAATGCTTAATCACTAGGCTATACCGTGCTCACCAGAGAAACATAGAATTTCCGCAGCGTTCCGGGACACCCCTGCCCTAATCGAACAAGCCAGGATTGGTCGATGCACCGTATGGCTGTTGTTGCTGTCAAGGTGGCTTGGTTGGCAGCTGGCTAGAGGCTAGTCACTGTTGTAGGACGTTTAGCTGTCCGCAACTGCATGCCCTTTTGCAGCTTTTAACAGCACACGGCTAGATCAGTGCATCCGTGCTACCATGCGTTGGATCTACATTCAAGGTGTTTGTGGCTGGGCACCGAAGACAACCCCTCCCTTTTTGATTCCAGTGGAGTCGCAAGCCGGAGGGGTTCTGGAGCCTACTGTCGGTGAGGCCACACACGTTCGAGGAGGGTGGCGCTGCAAGACCTGTGCACGAATGTTCATGTTCGGGTTTGCATCGGCAGCTCTTCCGGCTAGTTTGGGCGTTCATCCTGAAACAAGCGTTTCTTGTTTTAGTAATTCGCGCTTTTCCTCAACTAGGGGCACGAACAAAGAACTCTTGGGGCGCAGGGGATAGACGCTTTGTGGCGTGGGCTCGCACGTAGATCCTTCAGAATGGCTGGAAATGGCGACCGACAAGAACCCAGGAAGGAAGCAACACAAGCGAGGTTGTTCTAGCCGACAGCAGAGCCCGGCTAGACGAGGTCGTGGAAGCACAAGAGCCAGGCACTCTTTGTGCACAGGATCTGGCAACGCAAGTTTCCGGAACTGGGCTGAGGCATAGGCCACAGAGTCACAGAGCGTACTACGAAGGCCTTCGGACCAGCCGCTGATAGTCGCTGCCTAGCCAAACAGTAAGTCATGCATCCGAAACCATGTGCACCAAAGCCGTGTCCTCCAGGAGTTGGCACTGGCACCTTCGAAGCCGCAGCAGACGAGCAGTGTTTGGTGGCCAGCCCACAGTGTGCGTGCACAGCGGGCAAGTGGTATTTCGAGACTGTCATTGGGCCGCAAACGTCGAGCTATCGGATAGGCGCGCTGTTTGCAATCATCTGCATCTCGATCCGGCTGGCAAGTGCCTGTTAGCAACTGACAGATCGTGGGTGTTGCAGGTGTTCTGCAGCTGGAGTCAGACCTGACCCATCAGCCTGGAGGCTGGCCACAGAGCGCGGGGAGAAGCGCAGAGAAGCTGGAAGTAAGTCTTCAGCAACAAGCACCAGATGTGACAAGATGTGACACTGCAACTGCAACAGGTAATGACGAGAGTTGGGCCTTCGCTGCAGAAGGCATATGGCACGGAGGAAAACTGGTGCAGCAAAGGACAGGTGCTCCTTACAGGGGCAATGCTCGCGTGTTAGTTTGCACGACTTGTTCCTTCGTTCATGGCTGACATGTTAGGACTGTTCCGGGACATGCAATTCTCGGTGTGCTGCTGAACTTGGATGCCGCTCGGCGACCGAAACGGCTTGCTGACACGAGGAAGCATTGGCCGAAGCTGAGGATGGGCTGCTAGCATTCACAGTCGATGGAGTCACCACGGAACAGGTCTCCATCGATGCCAGCGCAGCGTGGCTGCCGGCATGGGGTTTTGCCGGCATGCTGGGTATCCGATTGGATGGACGATTTGCCTTTGACCCACCGTCTGGATTCTTGCCGATTCGAAGAGCCGGATTGCAGGATGGGAAAGCGCTGCCACAAGTTGTTGGAATTTTGCTGTCTGACAGCCAAAGCGAGCTGTAAATTGCACTGGTGTACTGTTGCAGTTGCTGTCAACACGGCAGGCCTGCACGGTAGATACCGGCTTTAAACACCATTCTGTACCTTGCACTGCCTGCCTAAGACGGAAAGATGGATGATCTGGACTGCCACTCTGTATGGTTTTTACGCTTTGGGTGATCACCAAAGACCCGGTAGCAGCATGCTCTAACGAACCATGTTCACAATGTCTTGGCTTACAGGTCATGTAGCTAGCGTGCAAGGTGTCAATTTTGCTACTCCTCTTGGCGGATCTCGACCGAGGGAGAGCTGGCATTTGACACGCTTGCCCGAGTCGGTAAAGAAATACCGGCACCGTTGGCATGCATGAAGTTGACATGTGGCACTACTGTACCTCTGCGCACGGAATTGCACCGATCCAGTCCAACTTGCTGCTGAAATACCCACGTCTTGTTTCACCAGTATCAGCTGGCCGCAAGCTATGGCGACAAGTGTCATCATTAGAGACGTCGCCGGATACGCAGCCCCAGCTGCACCACCGGCCCAACGCGAGAGCCAGTCCTTCAGTTCATCTGGCGAATACTATATGGTCTTGTCCAGCGGCGAGCAAGAGCAGAACAGCGCAGCTGTGAACGCACCCACGTTGGAAGAGAAGCTCGTGTCTTGGCACTCAGCAGGGCTGGCATGTTGGTCTCTTACCGAAATTTCGAATGGTTGAGGTCTTGTAAGATGCCACACCATGTTTTTTTGAAAAAAGCCTGCTTTTCAGCTTCCGGGCAGCCCGAGGCAGCCTACCAGGCCGAGGGCCGCATCTGCATCCTTTCGTGGATTTGGTCCATGCCACCATGTCATCTTCCAGACCCCGGTTGATCTTCGATTAGTGAAAAACTGGTGCCACAACTTTTATCGAGTAGGAAGATACAGGCAGTTGCATGGTTGGGACATTTAGCCGCCCTGCCAGGCACGCAAGGCAGCTTGACCAAAATCGGAGAGTTTGAAGTGCCGACTGCAGAATCAATGCGGTCTGTAACGTACCTGCAGTAAACTGTAATATCCTCTCATCTTATTGGCCGGCCGAGGAGAGGAAGAGACAACAGCGACAGCGAAAGACATCCATGGCAAGTGAGAAGAGACAGATGTTCAATCGCGAGCAACCCAGCGGCATCCGGCAGCAAACGTTGGTTCTTCGGAAAAGTAGAAGATGATTGGTCAGCGATGATCCTTGCCTGTGATGCTGACGGCGGTGGTGGTTGTGGTTATAGTGGCTGCAGTGCGGGGTTCGTTGAGGTGGTGACGACGATGTTATATAGGTTCTAGGTTAGTGCTTGACGCTCGCAAGTATACGTGATGTCGTGCTGGGTGGCCGCTATGCCGGCAACACTTGCGCTGGTTTGGGTTGTTATACCTGCGCTACTATGTTTTGAGCGGCTTGGAGCACGAGGCGGATTGCCGAACCACGGTGGTGACACGTAGCATTAATCCACATCTTGCGACCGCATCCACAACTACTGTACTGCGGAGTGCAAATGGCAAATTCCGATGTCTGCTGCCACTGGAACTTGATCCGACCGATGTTGCCTTGGCAGGATGGAGAAGACGTACACAGAGCAGCAGGCGATGGAAGAGCTTCTGCACGACCCTCCCTCCAAGGACTCTAAGATTTATCCGAAACCGTGATAGTTTAGTCTTCGTATAGCCGGCACTGTCGGACCCGATGCTTCTGTCGAGTGGTGAGGACTCCCCGTGGGGCCCAGCAGTAGAGCAACTTGCCTGAACAAAACTCGGACTGTTTCAAACTTTCCGAAAATCGTGTCACCAGGCGATACCTTTCAAGCGCGTCGGAGAGCTCCATGTGCAGCCAGTCTTCGGTGAATTCTGTCGTGCACGAGCAGGCTGCAGATGTGTAGCCGGAGAAAGACATACGGTTGAACATGGAGATCCGTGACGGCTGCACTTGCACATGCAGACTGCTCCTGCAGGTTGCATTGGTTTATTCTGGCTGCAAGTCCGCGACTCGTGGTGACGGGAGTGGGGGTGTAGGTTGCATTTCCGTGATTGCGACCATGGTGCATGGTCTTATACATAATGCGCAGTGCAGCTCTTTCTTGTGCATGAGTTGCAGGGCACTACCGCGGTGGAAGCACATCTCATTAATTTGGCACGCACACCCTCGGGGGAAGGTTAAATCACACAATATATCGTAACGTTCCGCAGTGTCAAACTGGTAAAGCCGGCTAGCAACAGCTTCAGGGTTAGCGGTCATGGTTAAGGTTCAGGACGTGTTTGGACCTTTGACACCGGCATGTCGAAGTGTGAATCTTTGCGGCTTAAGGTTTAGGTACGTGAGGGATTAAGGGACAATCTGAAATAACCCGGATGCAGAGGACATGAACCTTTTCCTCCCCATTGTATTTATGTGGAACATGGATGTGATAAGCCCATCCCCGTGTGAGTAAGATACGGGCACGGCACATGTGGAAAGAGTAGATGTGAACATTGAACATGGTGATCAGACTTTGCAGCGAAACGATTTTGTTGTGGCTTCTGCCTTTGAGTCGTAACGCACGGTTGCGTTGGGGGAGCTCGCCCACCGTTTTTGTTGTGACTTCGGTGTCTCTACTCACGGCGGGCAATTGCACCCCTCGCTGTATAAACATGAATAGATACGGCGTGTGCGTGCGGGTATATATAGGTGTGCGTGTGGGTGTGGTGTGTATGTGTGTGTGTATGTGCGAGTGTGCATTTAAGTATGCATGCATGGAAGTATGTTTGGATGTATGTAGGTATATGTTGGTATGTATGTATGTAATCCCTTCATCCAATGCGGTCTTCGGATCAGCCAAGCTGGAGCCAAAAATCCCTTCATCCGTTTAATGAAGCCCCCCAAATATGAAGAATGATTTGGGGCCTTTAATCTTCAATATTGGGGGGATTTCGGGTGGTTTCAGGCTGGATTGCCGAAATTCGAGATTTTTATTGTCAGGCAAGGGTACGCATCCAAATAAAAGCATGGGACAGGGCAAAAGAGCGCTAGCCTGGGAGTTCCGGCTTCGAGACAGCAATTACTCGCCAGAGCCAATCCGCACCCAGTCCAAAATAATCCCCCTATTTTCATGGACCCAGCCTGCGAATCTCCAATTCTCCATGCCGGCCATTCCACTTCCAAATGCGGCCCTAGCCTGGGAATTTCAAATCTAGACCGCTAGACCCTGAAATTCCCACATCCGGACACTCCTCAGACATTTCTCGGGCGCCGCGTTCCTGCTCCAAACGGCCGCGTTCCAGTTGCAAATGCGCGCCCTACCCTGGTACTCCGGGATTCGTTCCAGTCGCCTCATGCCGATCCTACCGGGGCCCTAATTCAACATGCCTTTAAATTTCCTCATTTGGGAACTTTTTGCTCAAAACTGGATTTTTTTCGGCCAGGGAATTCTTTATGTTAAGGGGGATGTATTAAACGGATGAAGGGGTTATGTATGTGTGTCTGTGTACATGTGTGTATGTACGTATGTAGGTATGTACGTAACGTCATTGTGAATGTACGTATGTATGTACATATGCATGTATGTCTGTGTTTTTGATGCGGAAGTGCAATGGGACTGTAGCTGGAGCACGAGTTTCATCCCAGCGAGAGCCCCGGAGCCGCATTGCTTGCAGGGTTTCACTTTCATTTACTTTTCGGCACCCTTTTAATCGGTTGGACCCTGAAGCTGAGACAGGCGCAAGAGCAGTGCTATCAACGCGCGCGCGCGGATTGCGAAAGCTGCAGGGTAATCATCTTTGACTTCAGCGGACACAGTTCGGCCGGCCGTCACATCCTTGGTTCATCGATTTGCCTGGCTTTGCCGACAAACTATGGGGTTGCTTCCGTTTGCGCCTTTGCGCAACTGGATGCTGTCGTTGCAAACAGTGGTCGGTGTGCGAAGCTCGGGTCCACGGCGAGTGTTGGGATGTTTCAATCGATAGGACAACAAGCCTTCGCGTGCTGCGGTCTGTGCGCATTTCCGTGTCTTCATGCAGTATGTGCTTGGAAGCGGGCAGAGCCGCGAGGCACGTCATGTTACGTACGAGGAACCATTCTGTGCATTGCGCGATGTCCGTAGAACTCGTTGTCAGGTTAGACGCAGAGAAATGTGCTTCTTGCATTTGCATCTCGGCACAAGTCAGTCTTAGTTGCTCGGGATCGCCTAAGTCATACGGTAGGCATAGGGCAGGAAGGAAATGGTTCCTTGAATAGCTTGCTGTTGACTCTGTTTGTACGTCGACCAGGACCAGGCATTCGTCCTGCATATGTGCATAGGTTGTGTGGGATGCTGAGGGTAGACTTGTGCGGACGTTGCAGACGTAGTTGCCCACAAATGTGAGCTAGTTGCGGACCTTCAAAATATGCAAATTACAATTTTGACAGCATATGGAGCTGGACCTATCATTACTATATTTGATAGACAGATGTGCTTAAAAGTCCACTACATCTGCGAATGACAATTCCCCAAGGCGAGGAACCGCTCCGTCGTGTTTGGTCGCTGCCGCTGCATGAAACTTCACCCCAGCAGCTGGGATGCAAAGCGCCTTTGTTCTCGCAGAACGTGTGTGAACACGGTGAGCTTCTGTGCTCGGGGTTCAGCCGCCGCAAGGAAGTTGGGTGATCAATGTCAACGCCTGCTGATCAGCCTGTGACAACTATAGTAAGATGCCAAATTTTCAAGGGTGAGGCTGGCTCTTCAGCCCTCCCCACAACGTTGCCATAGGGTGCGTCATCCCGTCATCGGTCAACGGGAAAGCTGATTTCTAACCTCTCCGACCCCAATGTTTGACACCTCTGTTTGTAGTCTGCTGGCCCATCCTCGACAGGCCAGAAATCTTTCGGAAGGGGAAGGCTTGGGGAGGCAATTTAACTCATACTTTCGTAAGTTTATGTTGTGGGGAATCATTGGGTTTGCGGAAATGTTTTTGTTGTGTGATTTTCGGGTCAGAATCTTGCTGACGGAAGTTTGAGCAATAGGAGCGCCGGCTTCTGCAGTTTGCATCAGTGCAGCTTGCCCATTGGTACCGTGATGGGATGCCCCACCACGAATCCATGCACGACACCAGAAGCAGCTTCCTTTTTGCCTGGATCTCCGGTACGGAGGGCCAACCCAAAGCAGGATCACGGGGAAAAGCTCCCGACTTCAAGCCGCCAAGCCTCCAGCTTGAGCACTTGTCGCGGAGCTCGCCTGAAACTGCACCCGTACACCTAAACTTGTTTGACCGTGATGGAAAAGGCTGTCGCCGCCCTTGGGCCAAGGATGGCCAAGGCATGTCTCTACTGGAGCATCTGCACGACTATGACCCTGATGCAGCGGCTCGAGTGTGTAGTTGGCTGGTGGACAACCCCAAAGTGTACATCTAGCGGCTTAACAGCTGCGGTCGAACTAATCGGCTCTGCCAGCACGGGTGTTATCTCTTATCTCTTACCCTATAAGACATAGTTACGGCTCGGTTCATGGCCACCTCAGATGGCGATGATCATGAAGAGCACGCAGTCCGAAAACGGGTCGGCAGCATGCCCGCAGTGTGAAGCATAGCACGCACATCTCCTGTACACCGAAATTTCAGCCGAGGCATTTCCGAGGTTCCGGAAACACGACTGTCGGCTGAGAGTGTCTTGATCTTTAAAGAGCAGCTGGAGCAGGCACTGCTCCCCCCCCTCCATCTGCGCATGCCTGGCATCTCCGGACTTTCAATGCCTGGAGGTGCAGAGCCGCTGTGCAGAGCTTCAGCACGAGATCTCATGCCTTGCCGACAGGCATTCGGAGGAGTGGCGGTATCATCCCGACCTCAAAAAAGTTTACGGAATACGCAGTATCGTCGCATGGAGAGCGGATCCACCACAAATCAAAGCCACCTAATTACTCGTCTGTTGGCGGTTTAGCCGGTCTAGCACTGTTGTGGCTACAGGGGTAGCTTCGATCGTGAACAGCTGGGGGGTATAGCACCGCGACGAGTCGCGGCTTCATCGAGCCACCCCTCCCCCAGCATCGAAAATATCGCTGTTCAGCTGCAGCTTCTTCACTGTGGCCAACAAATCAAGAAAACAAATCAAGCGATGCTGGACATGTTAGACGGGACAGCCTGAAGACAATACAGAGCCGCATTTCTTTCCAACAGCGGAGCTAAGCTTCAGGCTAGGAAACGGCTTCTCGTCGAATGGAGGTTTGCTGAGGACTTCTCTGAGGAAAACACAGTGTGCTTCCGAAGTCCTCGCACCTACAATCTCCCTTGAAGCTTCCAACCGGGAAGTCACATGCACACGCTTCCCGCAGGAGCTGGAGGTGGAGGTTTCCCGCAGGTTGGAGCATGAGCTGGCGGGGCCTTAGACGAACGTGGTTTTGACTTTGGGATGTAGGGGATTCGGTTCCAGCTTTGGGGATGCAGGGGAAATTGAAGAGAAGCCCTGTGTGTGTGTGTGTGTGTCTCAGTTTATTCGAGGGCTTCTTATCCTGTCTGGAGAAGTGTTTGCCCGGGGTTTCTTACAATCCAGATTCACAGGAGCCAAACTGTTGCCCTGGGTATAAGCATAGGTATACAGGGATCCCTCGCACTTTTGCGGCACTCACGAAGAGGCAAAACTCAGATCCGTCAAGAAGAAGCGGAAGGGCAAGAAGCCGAAGCCTCCAGACAACGGCGCTGCGGCAGAGGAATTCTTGCAAGAGCCTGTGGATGCCGTGCACTGCCTAGCATTTAGCATGGTGCCGTTTCTCTCTGTTTTCAAGGCAGTGTGTTTACGGCTTACGACTTGCGAGCTGTGCTGCCTGCCTGCTGTGTCGTGGAGCTGCAGGAAGTCCACAGCATGTCCCAGAACGACCTCGAGACACCGGCATATGAGCCGGAAGTGTGGAGATCCACCACTCAGGGGCTGGGAGCCCTTTACTCACGGAAGTCCACTATGGCCGTGGTTTCAACTGAAACTCGGAGAACTGCAGCGACTGCAAGTTCCCTGCGAGAGAAGAGTCGCTCCCCGGCCATGTCGGGCTGACTTCAGAGATGTCCAGTCGAGTCCATCATGTTCTATCCCGCCGTGTGCCACCTAGCGGCCTGAGGTGCCATGACGAGCGGTGACGAGGACGCAGTCATGGCGGTCCTCACTGCTCACCACCACAACGGGGTCGGCCTGGAGCGACGAATGGAGGTGGCAAAGGCGAAGCTGGAAAGCTTCAAGGAGTCT